TACTCATAACTTCTTAGAGAGGTTATGTTTTCGTTGATTGTCACTACCACTGAAAGTGATACAACGACTTGTATAATGATTGTATAATCAGCTGATTTCATGTAAATACGTGTTTGTAAAATTTCGTTAAATAATACATTACTATTTTTCAGGCAATAGCTTCTGCTAGCAGCATTCTTACCATAAATACTGTATCAGGTACAATTAGGGAAATATTGCATATTTATTTGGACAACTGAATAATATAGTGAAACAGTTAATTTACAGTTAGATCTCAGCATCGAATATGTGGTCTACAACGAGTTGGGTGAAACAATGGTTAAGAGGTTTTCAAAATAAACCAGGAGCATATTTTCATTTATCAATCTAACCTTATTTTGTTTCGTTCATTTAATGAATTGCTGGTATGTAATTTCATACATTTGTTTCGATTATGGTGGCAAAAGATAAGCACAAACAGTTTGTGCTCTAATTTCCATCTAGTCAACTTCACTTTCACTAAAACTGAAATTTTTAAATCAGTTTAATCTACCTTCCTTCAACTACCAACTTTTAGGTTAAAATTACGTGAGTATCAACAGGAACAAGACTGACCAACAATTAAAATTGTCAACTGATCAGCTGATCAGCTGATTAGTTGACATTCGAAGCATTACAATTTTACTTCTTTTCTCTCAATCCTTGAATCTCATTAGTCCGTTACCCGTGTTGTTATGAGAAAAACTATGCTGTTATGAAATGAAACTATGCTGTTATGAAAGTAAACAGCTGTTAAGTGAAACTTTTCAATTCTAAGAACCGAACTGAAATGGCTACTTTAAAAAACGGTCGTAGGTAAAATTCTTAAAGCCTATACTAGGCTTGAAAGTCAAGTATATTTCCACATTGTTTGTTCAGCCTATTTCGTTCATAATATTTAGGGGAAGAAATATATCCCCTCCACTATATCCTTACCTTTAAAATAATAGCTTAACAGATGAATAAGCAACATACATTAAGTACAAAATAGTGGTGGGGGAACTTCGCCTCAGACGGCCTAAAAATTGTGAACAGATTATAGTTATCAAATTATTGTCAGCTGTGGGAGTGGTATGGATAGTAGAGCACAGGAGGTTCAAATCCTGCCAATCACCAGAATGTTGCGACCCTCTTTGCCTAGTTGGAAGAAATGTGTAAAACGTTCCCGGGAATATAGCCTAGTGCCCTAGAATTTGTGAAAGGAAGGACATAAATCATATGTAATATCTATTAAACAAATTATTTGCAAAAGGTTACCCTCCCAAATTATTGGAGAGAACCTAATCATGTAAGAAGATCACTGGATTTGGTCCAAGCAATTGTAATGCTCTAGTCCCATAAACGCTTCAAGTTAGGCTTAATGGTGTGGAAACATGGCAGGACTATGGAGTCAACTTGATCCTTTTTGTCCCCAGAAGTAGAACTTATCTTTATACTTGGCTATATAAAACACAAAATATTGTGTGGATTTTGTGGTAAGAGATCTCTTATACACTGTTCTATTTACTCGATGGTTGGATTTACTCTTTTCTGTGATATAGCTTGGGTTCTTAACCCCCGAGTCAAAACGTATAGTACGGAATATACACAATGCTAATTTACTTATTTGTTTGGGGTTGTGGTCTGAATTCAGTTTACAGTGGCATCGAGTTAAAAAACAGGTTTAAAAAATGATAGCAATAATACTTATTCAACAATTATATTTTACATGCACTCGTAAAAATAAGGTTTACATAGAAACAGAATCAGCCAAAAGTGATATCAACATGATTTTATTCCATAAGTTAGAAATTTCAAAGAAATATAGCGATTTTTGTCACGTAAGTCGACAATCGAATGTTATAAATAGAGGTTATATCTTGAGACCTCCGGGGCACAATTCTGCACGTGAATTGATAGAGCCTTTCTGACATCGGGGCGCATTTCACCTCCAACATCGGGTAAAACCTGCGGCATGAATATTATATTTGTGGCAACGTTCAAGAAAACAAACTGTCATGTCACAAAATTGTCTCTAACTTGGTTGTCCATTCTGCCTCGGTAACATAATGGTTGCTGGTTCGATCCCGAGCGGGAACGAATCTAGGCCTACATGTCATTATTGTCATTAGAGTACCAAATGATGCTATTCATTAATATATATACAGTTGATTAGTAAGTTGTCCAGGATTTGGACAGTTCCTTTACATAAAATATACATATGACATTGTAATGACATGACGCAAAAATAAAATAAAAACAGTTGTTAATTTCACTATAAAATATCAATAGGGTAAATTTTATAGCCTACTGACATATAATAGGTGGTTGACTAATACCAGCTGGCCTATTTAAAAACATTACCATCACCCACCAGTTCTATTTGAGTTGAGTATAGTAGTTTAGCAACATAATAAATACTAGACTTTCGTCATATTTGATAATATGCTCTTGTAATACATAAAAGGCAATTTCAGGAAACTCTATTTCATAGTTTCATTACGTCTGGACAAGGTTCAAAGCAGGAGTTATCAAATACATGATAATTTCCCTCACTAAGAAATCTGTTTAAGCTTTTTTTCATTTCTGAATAGTATGAACTACACCCAAAAGTGGCTTTGAAAAATATATAATTTCCAACCAAAAAATCCTAAACAGTTAAGCTTCACCAGCTAATTACAAACTGACAAAACAATAAAGAGAACTGTAACTTCTCATCGATATTCCATAGGAAGAAAACCTTGACAATACAAAACAGTGAATATAAAGTAGATCGGCGTAATATTTTTACCTAATTAATTTACTTGAACGCATTTCCCATTGAGAATATGCAGTTTTGAGAATAAAATAATATGCAAATTGATACTTTCTCTCATATACTACAAATCATAACTACGATAAATTATCTCAATTATGGCATATAGTTCCATCTTCTTGCCTAACATTTATTCGAATTTCTAGATACATATTTTGAGCAAAAATGCTTTTAACTACAGTCACCCGACAAAGTTGGCTTCCTTGTACTGTTTATAGTACATAAAGCTTCAATTGCTGCATATTTATACTTTGCCGCACATCAGGATTCCAACGAAACAACACCAAACAGCGTGGTTCTATTATGAACGTAATCTGTGTACGCCTGGAAATAGGCTGGCAACACTAATAATAATACTATGAGCAGCTGATTTACTATTATAACTACGATTTAACCTGTCATTTCGTGTTTATAGTTTCGGTATTTCTGAACTTTCTGGACTTTTCTTTTAAACGTTTTTAAAACATTCATACGATCTTAATAAACAAGAAAATACCTTTAAAGCATTTTTTTAGGCGTGGAAACCACTTTAAATTACAAAAACATACGGAACTATATTCTCCAAACGCGGAGCACATTTCTTGCCGAGGAAAAATAGCGGAGTGATACGGACCGGGTACTACTTTCTCTAGGGCACCTATTTGTGTTGCCAGCTGAACCTAAAAACGTGTTGTATAGTGTTTGAAAGACTAACTATTTATTTGTTTTATAGCGACTGTAGGAAAAATATAATGTGTAACACGAGTGCAAAAGGCCTTTGCTGCACTCGAGATCATTCCGAACAAACATTGCTCTCGTGTGCAGCAAAGTGCCACTTTGCCCACTAGTTACACAAATAACTATTTCCTTTGAAAAATAACAGTTTTAGGTCTTGTGAAGGGGAAATAAAAGAATTGCAACAGAACAAACACTGAATCTGGTTTTAGTTTTTAGAGTGAGCTTATACCGTACGGCGCAATACTTGCCAATTTTAACAGAATGCCAATATTGTTTGCAAAGAATTCACGTGTTGTTTTTAGTTCTCCCGATCTGATATGTCAAATTATGTATTTGATGGATAAAGTATTCTCAACGATTTTAACTTTGTGTCAAAAAGTAATTACCATTATGATTATCTTTATTCAAGTATTAGGCTATGTATACATTGACAAGCAAAAATATGCTATTTAAGTGACTCAAATACTTTTAAATTACATTAATGGTTACAGATTGGGCAAATGAACAAGTCTTTTCGGAAAGGAAAATTCATTGAGACATAGAGAAAATTAGATGATAATCTTTTCAATTGCTCCAAATAAGGAGCTTCATTGCTTCTCTTCATTGCTATATACCACTTACAATCACTAAAATAGAATTTTGGATGTTTCGATGCAGGTAGGATTTTTTCTTTTCATCTTGTTAATATATATATATATATTTTATTTTTATTTACTATCATCATTAAGTGTCTAAGTACTCCTGAATGTTTATGGACCTGTGTATAGCTGTATTAGCAACTCATTCCCAAACACAGACGGATATTCTACTTGGGAATTATTTTTCCTGTACATAGACAATTTTAACAACATGTAACATTATTCAGGAATTAAGAGATTTTGATTTGATTTGAGCTTATGGAGCGATAATTACCGTGAAAAACTAGACAAAATGAACTTGTTTTAATTGAACCGAAAGAATATGACGAAGAAACCAAGTAATTCTGACGAAATACGTAATTTTAAGGACAACCAATTGTAAACTATAGCATGTCCTTTCTATGTCACTTCAACTATCATAGTACGGTACCAAAAACGATGGGAACATTTTAGTTTATTTAGACTGTAGCAAACTCCAATGGAGCTCATTAAACTATGATATTGTTAAATGAAACACTGGCTACAACTGGTAAAAAAAGGTGGGATGTCTATTTCAGTACCCATCTAAAGTAGATTTAAATGTCATCAGTAGTAATTCAATTCTATACACTTATATAAACACTTGAGCAATAATTGTAATATTTTGACGTTGGGACAACAAAAACAAAGTCCTGATTGCAATTCTTTACGAAACAACATAAACAATTTTAAAAACACTTGCGCAATTGCATCCGGAACTAGTTTTTTAAATGCGTTAGTACTATGATGCCTTCGTGAAGGTCAATTAATACACGTTCTCTTCACATACGTTTACTTCAAAAAGGATTAGTAGTTCGAGTAGTGTCTTGGAATGAACATCCTCTGGATCTTGCTGTTGATGGGCTTCGCCCTCCTGGCGATGGTAGGCGCCGCCCCGCAGGCCTCGGAGGATTACCAGAAAGACCCCCTTGGTTCCTTCAGCGTCGCCCGACGACAATATGGCCGTCGCAGAGGTCGATGGGGAAAATGAAATTGGTTAGTTACTGTCTACAATTTATCCTAACTATTTGCTGGGCTTCACAAGTAGACTTAAAATTTTTTATGTTAGCCACACTTATTTATTTTATCGAGTTATATCAAATTTCATGCCGTGTTTATTGGGGCTACTTTCAATAATTTTTTATTAGATGGTCGTATTTTTAATTTGTATTCTTTGTGTCTTGTGTTTTTCTACAGTCTACGTCCAGACCATTGGTTTTTCTAACGTTCACCTGTGTTTAGTAGATGGCCAAAATGACAAAACTTAGATTCTAAACACAGATCTTACCCTTTTGGGGTAGAATGCATATAACTGGAGGTAAACAACTCATTAGGCTATGATTTTATTTGTTCATAACTGGCTATTGCTTAAGTTACTAGTAAATCATGAACTGAAAAGAAAATTACTCTCTTGTTGAACTTTGTAGCTATTATCTATAAATCCTAATGCCATTGTAAACATCGTTTAACATCCATCATTCATCTAACAACCATTAGAACACAGTTTTCTCAATTCGTATATCCTAAATCCATTTCACGTTCTTCAAAATGTAAATATTTTTTTTCTTTATTGCTGTGGTTTATTGTGCTGTGTAATGGTAAAGTTCGAGGAAATATCAAGAGCAACTACCCAGAACCTTCTGGTAGATTCCACTCAAGGATTCATAGCTTTGCTTTCATCAACAATCATCGACGACTTATATACACCCATCCTTCATACCGCGGCCATGGAAGAGGATTCTGGGTTCGCGGACAGAGGTAATTATGCAATGAACAATTGTCAGTTTCACGTTAGCGGTGGCGTAGCGTCCAATCGTAGTTTACGAGACTTGTCAGGGCGCATGCAGGAATGTTTACCTCCTAGCAAACATGTGTACGGTTGTTAGATGATATAGAAAGGGAACATATGGATAGTGGATCTTTGGGGCCAGTTTTTGATCGCCTATAAGCTGTATACTCGATGGTTAGTGCGTTTTTCTTTCCTGCGACCCCCACATGACCCCCTGTGACCCCCACATGGGTTTTCCCAGGGTGTAAGATGCACTCTTCCAAGAAAGGTTCTTGAATAGCTAAGAAGTGTCTTAACTAGACGTTTCGCAATATAATTGTATTGTAAGTGTAATGCAGTCTAAAGAGCATAATTTGCTTCTGTAGCCAGCTAACTTTTCATAAACAGTCAATACAATTCAAACTTCTAAATAGTTTTTAAAATATACCTTGATGCAGGTTTTTGTTCAACGCACTATCTATACTACCAGTAGTTTAGTGGTTGAGGTGTAAAGGGTTCCAATGATCCAATAACTAGAGCGTAAAGTTGCAATTTTCGAGACTTGGGTTCGAATCACACCAATCGCCAATTACTTTTGGATTTGCGGTAATTCGATGACTCGCTTATCCAAAGTCCAACTAAAAATGTACATACAATTATCTAGAAACAACATTTTTTTATTTTTTTATGATGTGAGAACTTCCGTCGTGTTGGAGGGATCCCTTTGCTGAAAGAAATCAGATAGTTTTGTGTAAATTTAACAATCAGCCACAATATATACCAAAATATCAGCCCTTGGTATATTGTGCAGGGTACATTCTTGACCCTGATACTGTACTGATAATATATTTAATGGGAACTACCTGCGAAGACCTTAAACGATTGTATTTATAATATAGAATAAATAATATTGGAAAAAGGAAAATGATAGTGCAAATTTGATAAAATTATATGGTCGGTTCTATAGAATCCTTATCGATAAATGGGAGTATTCAGGATCCTAAATGATTTACCTCGGGATCGTGGATGAATAGGACGATTTACTTATTTCAGGAGAGCAAATCTACACCTTCAGTATCATTAAGTATCTTGTATGCCATTTCATAATTAAGTTTACTGAATACTATGTTTGTTTCAGGTAATCTTATTATGAACCCCTCTAACCGTAGAGATTGAAATAACATGAAACATGATATTACGGATTCTATAACTTTATAAAGTATAACTGTCAAACAATATAAACGTTTAAACTTTAGTTTTTGTTTTTATTACCAATCTATTGCTACAAGCCACAACTACGTTTGAACTTTACACTCTAACATGTGTTGTAAAAGCTTTACAATACTGTATAAATTTTCATAGATATTGTTTAGTGAGGTTTTATTGTAGAAACACTGAGATGTAAGTACATTATAATGATTATAATAATTAATACTTTTTGGTAACTATTCATCAGCCTAATTTGTTCAATAGTTGATAAGCAAGAGAGTACAATAAATTATAATGTATACTGTATAATTGATTACAATAATTTGACAGATATAGTTTATAAAAACTTTTTTTGTTGATAATTGGTTAGATTTGAATAATAAATAAAGAGATGCACATACAAATCTAACTGATATTTACTACGCCTTTATAATAATCACTGATTAATGGGGCCATTTCAATTTTTATAAGGTTTACTAGCATGTCGTATTATATTATTTGTACAATTTCAATAAATGTGAGGCTCGTGAAGACCATAAATGGATATGCTTTTGTATAAGTATGATTAACTAACTAAAGAACCTTTTTAAATTTGCATTCTCCTAAAACAACTATTGTTTAAAAAATTTTACAGTTTTAATTACAGTTTGTTAGTTGAGGAAAAATAATTGGTGAAGTGTTGTATGCAAACAAATATGTGTAACACAACATTTTTGATTTGTCATAAAAGGAAAACATAATCAATTAAAACAGTATTAATATTTAATTACGGATTAAGATTATTAGTCAGGAAAACGAGAATAAATAGAAGGTTTGTATTGAATTGGCGGAAGTGTCTCCCAGGATGTCAAGGAACCCCTTTAGAGGGTAGGGACGGAACAGTCGCTGGTGGAACGATCTGCTTTTGTGTGAGGAAGGGAAATGAATAAATATGCAAAGTAAGCAAATTTCAGTTTTATTTTACCGAGTTAAGTTAATATTAGTTCAACATCCATCCTCTACTAGACACAACGAATCCTCTCTAGTTGGTGGGACTATTAGGTGTTATGAGTCCTTCGGGAATTTCCCATCATTATAGGTAGAACTACAGCGTAGTCTATTGTCTGTGGTTGAACACTACTTGATACAGCAATGGAAATTACGTGTAATTACACGAACCAAGGCATTTTGTGATACAATTCTAGTCGTTAACCTGACACATACTATAATGTAAATGGTAATAAATTAAATGAATTACTTAAGTACGTGGTGGGCAGACTGAAAAAATAATTGTTATCCTACTGTGAGGAAAGCAGCCGTTTTTAGTACTTAAAATCGTTTGCAAAATCGTCGTTTTTGGGTAGCTTCAAATAGGGAACAGGAAATAGTTATTTGTGTAACTAGTGAGCAAAGTGAGCAATTGACTCACTCCAGAGAAATACTTACGAGCCGTAGGCGAATGAGGAATGGTTTCTCGAGTGAGGCAATTGTACTTTGAACTCGAGTTGCACATTATACTTTTCCTACAGTTACCATAAAACATATAAATCGGTAAAGAAACGTAACATATTTTTACACCGAAGTTAACTTTTAATATGACATTTAATAATACAACAGTACAACAGCTGACCAGCTGATTTAGAGCCAGTGCTGCCAACGTATTTTGCGCGCATACGACCTTGTCTGCATGTTACGCGCTCACTATTTCGTGCCTTCACGTTGCAAATCTGGAGTGAGACAAAGTAATTAGAGTGAGACAATTGTTAACATTGTCTCACTGATGAGCGAATTGGCCACTTTGCTTTCTCAAATCAGTGAGAGAACATGTACATTGTTAGGTAACTGTAGGAAAAAAAACATTTTGGTCCTATAACCTCAAAGTTTTATCAGTGCATTATGAAAAAGCTGCTAATCACAGTACATTTAAAGTTATGTTTCTAAACAACAGAAATGTAAACATTGATGGTGACCTTGTATAACCTCAAATTATGTGGTATAATTTTGTAACGATTAGAAGGTTACACACAGCATGATGAACCCCACAGTATGATGAAAATATTTGTTCATCACACGAAGTGAAAATGTCATTTTGGTGCTCTTATTTCCAAGCTCGGGTGGGACCTCACTTGTAAAACACGATTGCGTTACAAAAAGAGCCACTTTTGCTCCTGAAAACTACTATAGTAGCTATATTATACTAGGATAAGTAAATTTAGACAAGGGAAATCAGCTTACCGATTTCTTCAGTCCTAAATTTAGATAGGTATTGTAAAATCATTATTTTCATTTACATTTATCCGTAGTATAAAATAGCTACCTTTTTGAAATTTAATTCTTTCGTATACAACTAAAACATTGAATAATTTTTCATGGTCAATCATGTTTATCATTAAACGTATCCTTGGCCATGTTAAAAACGACGTGCGACGGTAACATTTTTCACCTCCCTACACTACAACAGTGAATCTTCTCATTACAGTACAGCTAAGTCGATATCACATACCCAAATTGAAATATTGTACTCGAAAAGCAATAAAATACAATAATTGAAAACTACAACAATTTTAGATATAAATCACGGCTGATGTCACTGATAATTTTCACACGCGATAGTATAATCAGGAAAGTTCCAGTTTTATATCAGTGACCTTGGTGAAACAAAAGGTTATCATAGCATTTCCTCTTTGAATTAAACGAACTGATATATGTGAGCGCTCCCAATGGTTTTTGCACCACACCATGAACATCTGGCTGTTCTTGCTGTTTGTTGCGGGGAGCTTCGCCCTCTTGGGTTTCTCGGAGGCTGTCCCTCAGGTACCACGTGGTCAAGACTCTCCAGGGACCCTCAGCGCCTCTCGGAGGATGGGTAACGGAATGGGAGGAGGTCGAAGTCAAGGCAAAAGAAAAATGGGATAGGCTTGTAGTGCCCAGGTTGGTAATATTACAGTACCTATACATGCCTATATAGTTTATCTTAAATGGTTCTATTGAAAAGAAATCAAAACCAGAATGTTTTAGAGTGGCTTGAATCTCATAAGAAGCAAAACATATTTTTGAAATTGTAGCATACATATTTTCAATGTATAAAGTAAAATTTATGTTGTATAGTTAATAGTTCCTTAATTAATTTATCATAATACCAAATTGTGTGTATAAAAATACTAGTTTGGAACTTTTGTATTTTTAAATATTCAGTAAAATAAATGTAGCTACATTAACGAATAAATACTGATATTGTACTTTACTCAAATTCTATTACAAGAACGATTTGAAGGAGGAACCGATTTCTTCTAAAACAAATGCTCCAAAATAATTCTGACATTCGGATTGTACCCGATTTCCAAATTTTCATCTGAAGTAAGCACGACTTCTCGATAACCCGATGCGCACAATCACACAAGCGATAGACTCATCAATCCAGGACAGCTCCCGTGGGACAAGACAGGAATTTGCTTCACTTCTTCACGTTTCTTACTTGAAATATTTCACTCGGCGGAGATGTTCGGTGCTTAAACACATTTACCGAGGTTTAGAAAATATTTGTTTTCATTTAAATACAACTTTATGTTATTTGCTTCTCCAAGTACACGGTGAGTAATTTAAAATTAAAATAAAATTATGGCCCAGTAGTTTCAATTTCGATTTGTTGTGGTAATTCAACTTAAATAGATATAATCTATATTTATAAAAGAGGAAGTTTGTATATATATATATTTTTTTTTTTTGAACGTTATGGACTCTAAAACCGCTCGACAGATTGTAATGAAACTTTCAGGCATTATTAAGCATTATTCAAGGGGGGTTTGTGTGAAGTTTGGTGCAGATCCGTCATAAGGGCTCCGCCCAAGTGGCTCTGGAGTTTCCCATGTTAACCTTATGAGTACTCATATTTAAATGGAATTAAAGAATCTTAACATCTGTGTAAACCAAACAATTTGATTCTGTGATGATCAATAGCATCAAAAGGTAAAAGGTTACAAAATGTACCAACAGGGTGCAGCACTATTAATTGTCTAAATTTATGACAACAGTTGCTAATTTTAACCAAGCAGCTGTGATACAAAATTAACCGTCAAAGTAGGACTGTTTACAGTTATGTTTATGTTTTTAATTTAATAAATAATTTTTGATGGTGTGTGAATAAGGAGTTTTAATAAGTGCGTAAATCATTAACTTCATTAACATCATTGACTTTCTTTTTTCCAAAATGTTTATAAAACCTATTGAATTTGTATGGTTTATTTCCCAAACAATAATGTATGGGAAATAAAAGTAACCAGTTAATATTTTAAGTTAATACTTTTAGTGGAATACTAAAAGTTTATCTACATACAGCAGATCTATGGAATAATAATATTCTCTTCCCGTTGCGAAGCACGGGTATGGTGACTAGTATACACATAGAAATGAACATATTATACCGTATGGCTAGTAAAGCTAGCCTGCAGTGATTGTTTAAATTTATAAGGGAAAAATAAATTCTTTAGAGTAAAATAACTGTTCTTGATATAAAATTAAAAAAGTGAAATCTACGACAAATGCAGCTGAACAACAAGTCCAGTTAAGCACTGTGAAGATAGGTTAATCACCCACGAAGAGAGACCTACATAGTCAAAAAGCCATGATTGACTATGTGTTTTATATAGTATAGAGATACGATTTGGTACTAGTTTGTAACAAAAGCTCCTTGCACGACGGTGCCGCCACACTTGCGATCTCTCAGTACAATAATTTACGCTGACTAAACTAACTGTAGAAAACTTTATATATTTTATTTTTTAATTATTTTTTTTTGTATATTTTTTCATTTTGATCAATTAATAATGACTAAAAAAAAATTCGCTAACTCTGACTCTGGAACTGATCTTTTACCTTGAATAAACCTTCCTTGTAAAAAAAGTAACATGCAAGGGATCTTAAAAGTATTATAAAATAAATCCCATACATACATAAAAAATATTGGATTTATAGTAATACAATACTTGTAATTCCTATTATTTTTGACAAACTTCTTTTTTGATCTCATTTGTGTTAAAGATAATTTTGTTCCATACTGTCTCTGATGCTACTTGGTGTAAGTTAAACTTACTTTAATATCAGCTTGGAAACCTCATAGATAGAGCAAAGTATCATAAAGTCTTAGCTCATTTCCTTGCCTGTTCAAAGCGAATATAAGGAAATTGAATATGTTATCAATTGATATCTGGGAACTTCATCAGGTCTCGTCATCCTTAACCAAATAAATATTGGGTTAAGCAATCATACAGCTCTACTTTCTTCTAAAAGGTAACTTCTAGTTAGTTCCAATTATAGTAATCCGTACTGTAACAAAATGAGATAAGGCTTTATAATATTAGGTCTTTCACGTGAATAATTTTTGTTTCAGATTTCAATATGTTCAAGTAACAAGGGATATACGGTCTTCTATGGATTGGATACACACCTTTGAAATTTGAATTAAAGTTACAGACTTGTTTAAATCGTTTCGTTTACTGGTATCGTGAAAATTAAATAGGTAATAGTTGTTTATGATAGGAATATACTCAAACATATTGTTTATTGAAAAAAAGAGAACAGTTTTATGTATCTAATATAATAGAATATTAATTATATCAAAGTTATTTAGCCTAACACTATTTCAGTTTTCTAAGTTACATTTTTAGCAAGATTAGGATTCCTTTATGTAAAAAAAATAAAACATTCTGACAAATCTCACTGCTAAAGCTCATATTACTCAGCTTTGTTTTTGTTTTTTGTTGACCCTACTGGAAAATCTCCTGGTATCATGTTTGGCATTAATTGAAATCACTTTTCAACTACATGATTTATTTGTTGACAATGACTGGTCATAATAAAACGAAATTTAATGCGTTAAACTGTTATCGTTATTTGCAATTTGTATCTTTATTTGAGATTAGAATATCATAATATTCAAATCTTTCTTTATTTGTCTCTATTTTAAAATTTTTATGTTATTACCTAATGTTATACAATTGAATGAGGCGTAAATCAACATTCACATCTTGGGTCGATGCGTTTTTTAGGTTTTCGAAGTTTTTAAAGTTTAAAGTTTCTACTTCAATTTCATTCGCCGAACTTAAGCCACCAAAAACTGTTTTAAATCTTTAGTAAGCAATTCCATTAAAATACCCAACAATTTACTTATGTATGTGATGTTTCGTAGTTTTACAAACATTATGCGCACAAGAACTTATTATCAATATGTAAGTGACTTGGTTTCAATTGATAAAGTTAATCAATCATATTAGGAAGGTAATTATAATTAAAACAATATTATTATCTTCCTAATTACTTCAAGTGTTGGCCAAAACCATAATGACGAAACAGTAATACAGACAAACTCATAGTAGTGAAAAAACTTCATTTTAATAGTAAAGTTACAAAATGTCAATATAATTAGAAAAAAAGGCAAATAACAATTTAACAAAATAATTCACACCATTATTTTGCATCAATATTGTAATCTTACGGGACTGGGAGTTGCGTATTTTGTTACTAAGCAGGCAAATGAACCTGTTAGCCTTGGAACGATCTTCACCATTTAACAAGTTGAAGACGAAGAAGGTCATTGAAGGTGAAGGACATCAAAGGTGAAACACATTGAAGTTGTATTTTATTAGCTTGCATAATTTTAGTTGGTAAAAAACTAGTAATATATTACAGAAGTATTAGACAAAATATGTTTTTTAATTTTAAACACAAATATATGTTATTTTAAACACCTTTTTACTTAAAAACAACTTATAGGCTGTACATCTGTTGGAAATGTAAGCAACAGTGTAGTGCTTCAGTGTAATTTTCGTAACAGAACATTTACACATAAATTATGAAGTCTTCCTTCGTCTAGCGTGAATTTAAGTTATCTATTTATTTATTTTATTCCAACAGAACAACCATTACATTGATTCATATACAATAATAAACTTGACAGTTGCTTTGGTTTTACTGTGTTTTAACACTCGACAAATAACACGATGAGGGCCTAATAAGTTTCGCGATTGCAAAGGAAAACGTATACTAAGTGACGAAGATAAAGACTACAGGTTGACTATAGTTTATCTAACAACAGACATTCTTAATTAGCAAAATCTTTTAAAATACACATTAAACCTTTTTAAAGTTGAACAACGAATATGCTGGTTTGCCACTTAACAAGGTAACTTACAGTTGAGTGGAAAATCATAAAGGAAAGTAATCCAGGGTTATGGTGTTCGGGAGTCAGTGATCGAGCCAGTAAAAGGGAAAGCAAAACTTTTGTTCCTGGTTATTGTACGTTTTACTTTATTCTGTTCAGGGTTTCTTTTGAAGTTGAAGTAACAATCTGAAATTTAATGGTTTAATTATACAAGTAGGTGAGATATAAGACGTTGTAAACAAATTCCAAGTGTACACATTTTAAATCTTTTTGAAATAATACACTAGTTGTACAATAAACCACGTTTAAACTCAACTTCACGTAAACATTTTCGTATTATATATACAGTACAATGCATATCAAACATTAATATGCTGTTTAATGTTTAGCTCTGGTAAAGTATATATAAGCTACTTACTTAGATGATAACGTTATTGCCAAAAGAATTCAAAATTCAAATAGCTGACTATTCAAAACTCACTAAAAAATATCAAACAAATGTAGACGTGGAAGAAACGGTTTGGAAATATCTTTCTGATAAATACAATTATTTGACTCTTTTTTAGCTCTCTGAACTGTGAAATATCGCAATAACATTTCTGGACTGATCACCATTTTAATTATTGTCCAGCTGATAGCCATTCAAAACGTGCCTTTTCAGGACAACATTCAAGTCATCTGTAATACTAACTCTTGTGACACTATTATTCATGTTAAACCAATTACACTTCAAAGTGGGTGCAGAAATCATCTAAATTGTAGATTTGCAGTTATGTTTGCTATTGTTTCCGGATGTGGTATAATCATTATCACCACACTTGAGTGACCATTCCAGGAAGTACTTCCACAGTTTCCTACTGAAGTTAAAACGTAATTACTTATTCAGCCTCTCTTCATTAAGTTGATTTTTTTAAATGTTGAGATTAAATGTATTTGTACACTAATAAATAAAAAAACTTTGGATAAAACACACACTCCACTTGTGTCTAACTGTGCAAATGCCTGTAGACATACCGTATACATATCTTCCTACGATACTCTACACACACACCACATCACGACATTATGAACACCATTGGAAATACTGTATAAGCAATGTAACTGAGTTCATAAGTTTCACATACCATCAGCTTAAAGTTAAAACTTAAACCTCGTACCAACTACCAAAACTTATTTGGAATCAATGACATTAGGTAACGCTCTTGATAAGCTTTTTATTCGAAGTTGTAATCAAACATTGTCAAACCAATCTGAAGACAGACTTGGTCAGTTCAATAATTGCCAAACTCCACCATGTCCTTACAGTCATTTTCATCCTAACATCAGACTGCTTTCCCTAAAAATGCCAACTATAGGGGTTAAAAAGAACAATTTCAACTTCTAAATCTTTCTTTCATACTTATTTGAAAAATAAGTGTGAATTGAAATTTCATATTTTTGGTCTATTTATATGCTAAATGTATTTAGGCACCTTCACATTGCATAGTTATGCCCATATGGAAAGTTGTATGTCAATTCGTCTTGCCGTTGACGAGATATAGTGGTTAACTCCGTGTAATTCAAAAATAATTATTAGCAAATAAAATAATAAGATTTGTATCTTTTTGGTACTGATCTAACTACAAAAGTGGCAGGAAAATAATATAGCAAGTTTGATAGTACTGGATGTTGTAAGCAAGTTTAAGAACAGTATATTTTGAGACTCTTTATCACTCTTTATCACATACAATTAATGTAAAAATAACGAGGGAAGGTATAACGTCATTATATAGAGACAATTGTCTCTTACCTAATGTAGCGATAAAAATAAGAACCATATACCTATATTTATTTCACATACAATTTATTTCACTCTCAAACTGTTTAACTGCATGGTAAAAAAAGTATTTGCGTCTGAAAGTGATAAATTATCATTAAAGTGCCGAAGCCATGTCTGGGCTTATTTCCGATGTCTGGTAAGCTGAGGAAATTGAAAATATTATCAAATTATCAAAAACGTCTAAGTGAAATGAAGATACCATAATCGAACGTCAAAGCTCAACAATTTGTGCTCATTTCACATTATGTGAATTAAATCTAACAATTCACTCGTAGTCAGCTGTAAATATAAAATCGACAGTTAATTATTATTGGTAAAATTCACTGTACTTATGGGAGGTAACAAATTAAATAATCGATATCAGTAAACTGACACATACATTCTCCCATTATTAACAACCATTATAATGAGTATGCAGTAGGAGTCAAAATCACTATTGCAATGACTTTTGAGCCACCATTTTACGGTTTTGGGGGTTGTACCGGTTTGTTAAGAGTTAATAGGACCATAAAATACAAAATTCTAACCAAAATCGTTCGAGCTGTTTAAAAAAAATCTCATTTTACATAATTTTATGGGAAACTCACCATTATAAACAAAGATAGAAATATGGTGGAAAACTCCTGGATATACCATGAAGTAGTATCCATATCCAAATTTGATCAAAACCGGGCCACAGTCGTAGGCTGTAGCTCTGTACACACATACCCACACACACAATTCGTTTCTAAAACTACTCTTTTGGGTTCATGGGGACACAAAACGGACATTTCCTCTAAAACTCACACTCTAATATTGAGGAAAACACTACTTTCTTCATTCACCCTGTATAGGGGAAAAGTAAAAGGATCAACGAATTTAATAAAATAAATTACATTAAAAAGTTCCCTGCACAGATTTAATTCCAAAGATTTAGTTATTGAAACCCATCATCACATTTGTGTTATGATACAGACCAGCTCATTATGTTTTGTATGCCCTCGTTCATATCTTAGGATGTTATTTTCTTAGTCAGTCATAGGAAAAATCTTGGCAATAATCAACATTCTTCTTCACATTGGTTAATTTCCTAGCCACCTCTATTAATTGACTAGATTGCATAAGCAAATATTTGAAAAAAGTTAATTTTTAATTACAAGTTATTTTAAAAACAAATATTTACACATTTTTATTCAATTAAAGCAAAGAAAAGTTATTCATCGCAAAAGTTGGAGGTTTTTGTTTGGCCTCGGGGTAAGCTTGATTGGGCTTGGAACAATCAAACTCAAGCTTTATTTGATTCCTACTCATTAAAAGCTTCCACAACAATGAGTAATGATTCGTCCCAATCCACAACAGGGCAAGATAGCTCCAAGCTCAACCGTTCCTTGTTTGTTTGGAGACTGCAATTTGCCTTAATTTATTTATACAGTTATTTCGTATGCTCTTAACATGTATTTGTTTTAATTCTAGCATTTGTGTTTAAAGTATAAACGAGATCCTTCTAGTTATATTAAAAAGAGAACACTTTTTTTGATTACACGAAAGTAATTTTTTGTGTTGACTTATGCAGATCTATAAATTAGAGAAACTAAACAATTTCATATAGTATAGGACACCGAGTTTGACATTTCATCCTTGCAAGGAACTTTACTAACAAAAATCATGTCTACATAAATAATTACAATTGTGACTACATTTGAAATTATAACACCTGCAATAAAATTATTATGTGATCGAACATTTAAAAGTTTGAGTTAA